TTGTCCACTGCCAGCTCCAGTGACAATCATCAGCACTGCTTCAGCAGGGTCAGGCACGAGAGAAGGACAGCTCACATCAGGATCATGGATGTTTGCTTTGGATGGGCTATGACCCTGTGTACAGGATGAGAGAGTAAATATGATGGAGAAGGACTATTTCTGCTGCTTACTCCATGAGAAATAATTTCTGACTCTAAATAAACCTGCAATGGTTGTAGTCTGAATTAAATTTGCCATTCAGCTTGTTAGAACCCCCAACACTCAAAATGTACTGAGCCAAAACAGATGTAGACACCATTAATTTCCTGTCAAATAAAGAACTCCAGACCAACTAAATGTAAAGAACACTGGAGGCTTACAAGAGAGCTAGAGAGGGACTTTGGACAAGGGATGGAGGGACAGGACAAGGGGGAATGGCTTCCCACTGCCAGAGAGAAGGGTTAGATGGGATATTGGGAAGGAATTGTTCCCTGTGAGGGTGGGGAGGCCCTGGCACAGAAGCTGTGGCTGCCCCTGGATCCCTGGAAGTGTCCAAGGTCAGGTTGGACGGGGCTTGGAGCAACCTGGGCTGGTGGAAGGTGTCCCTGCCCATGGCAGGGGGTGGAACTGGATGGTCTATAAGGTCCCTTCCAACCCAGACTATTCTGGGATTCTGTGAACATTGAATTGCCACTAAAACCAGAAAAAAGAGTCATGGAGCTGCTTGGAAGTGCAGGCAGCAGGTCAGGACCTCAGATGACCAAACTTTCACTTGCAGACCCAGGCAGGGAAATCGTGGGCTGCCACAGATGTATCAGGGAGCCTGAGAGCCCCCCAGAACAGCCACTCCCACCCCAACCAAGGCTGCAGCAGGACCCCCCTGGCCCGAGGGGCACCACTCCCCCAGCACAGCAAACACTGCCCAGCCCTGCCCATGTGTGTGCTCAGGAGACCCAGCTCCCAGTGCTCAGATATGTGTCAGCACATGCCGTGGGCAGCCAAGAAAGGAGGTCAAGCAGAAAGCAGCACTGACTCACAGCAGGCACATGTGGGGCTCCACAGCAGCTCGCTCTGAGCACGGAGCACAACTGCACACACAGCGGGAGCTGCGGCTCCTGCAAACTCCCAAACGCCTCATCTGGGCTCTGCCTTCTCAAAACCATGACATGGTTTTAGGTAACCATGCAGAAAGGCCCTTCTCTTGCAGCACAAACCATGGACTGCTCTTAGCAGCAGTCAGGGCTGAACATGAAGTGCCCTGTAAACGTGGCAAGGGGAGCAAACCATTGCCAAGCGCTGGGAGGGATTTCTCATTTACACCACCAGTGCAGCAACTCAAATTATCCATCATGTACAGAAGACCCTGTAAGGTCCCTGGGGGGTTATTCCAGACTTGTAGCTTCCATCCTAAGCAATTTTAGTGAATCCTATAAAGTGTGTGAAAATGGCAGATGTCAACTGTAAGCTTGAAGGGCTGAGGCACTCCTAAAAATAACGGGAACACAACTCCCTACTACTTTCAAAGCTAAAACCCTCCAGCTAAAGCTCTCTCATCTAGCCTAATAATTCACTGCAAATAACATTAAATATGCAATCTCTCTCTGAGCTCTGATTCCTACACAACTGTGCATGTAGGACTCGCTCCCCCAAACCAAATTCTCATCCCCACACATCAGAGAAGGCTCACAAATATTTACATCACAGGAAGTTTTCACTCATGAGTTATGTGGCAGAGGTACCTCTACTTCTGGATTTTTCCCCCACACCGTAACGTTTTAGTATAAAAAACCCTTTCAGCTTTGTAACTGCAACTGCTACACAAAGAAAATTATAAGTAAGTCTATACTTGGTGATTTTCTGGCTCTAAGATAAAATCAGAAGACATGCAATGTCAAACCTGCTGATCTAACTGAAGGGAAGACAAGATCAGGCCCAGAGAGGCATGGACAATCCATTGGAAGGAACAGCTCCATTTAAAAGGAGACACACAAAAAAAGAGATAAAATGGAAAGGAAGAACATGACAGGATAACAAAGCATAACAGAAGTCAAGTTTCTTTTCAAGTATAAAGGATAAAGGTGTCAGGCACTGGCTCTAATTTGAAGAGCATAGTATTTTTGATCCTTTAATGTGAGTCCAAGTTAGGAACAAAGCAGATGAAAAGTGACTACTATGAACTTGGACAGGTGTGGGAAAACCACTCATTATTTAAATCTTTTTTTGGAAGGGAGGAAAAGAAAAAAAGAAAAAAATTCAGAACTCCCAAGTGTCCAGAAAAAACCTGCTATGCTGATTCCCCTGTACTGCCTCAGATGCACAGGACTGGCAAAGGCAGCAAGAAGGGGAATGTCCTTCCAAGGATTTGGAACTCACGTCAAATCTCCTGCCTGCAAACACCCAAACAAAGCTGCAGGAGCATTAGTGAAGAGCAGAGTGTAAATCCAGAGACAGTCACCCTGACACAGAGCAACAAAGGTAAAGGCAGGGGCTCATCTGTGGAGCACAACCCCGAGCTGTGCAGAGGACGAGCTCACACACATCCCTCTGCACAAGGCCAAGGAGGATAAACCACATTCCTGATTCCAAGGTGCAACAAAGGGCATGAGAAACACGGTGTGTGTGAGCCAGGCCAGGAAGCAGGGAATTGTTTGCCTCATTTGGCTGTGACAACCCCGTTTCTCAGACTCATATGTAAGCAAAACTCATATACGAGCAAAGCACATACACTGTTTTCTATAGCATGGTCCAAACATTTGAAGTTCTGAGGGAAAAATACTTTTCCTAACTTACTTCCTGTGGTCTGTTCAGGTTGGCACGAGGTGTGGCCCTCCCCATTATACAGAGGAGGAATTAAGCACAAATGTGTCAGGCTGAAGGGTGCCTGGAGATCTGTAAAACTTGGGTTGTCTTGAGGTCACCCTGTGACCTCTGCTTTCCTACCACAGCCTGAGACCTCGGCACTCCAAAGGTTCCCACAAAGCAGTTGAGGGGAAAAGATGAAAGCAGCTGAATATCAGGTTCCCAGTGCTGAGGAAGCTGCTGTCAGATTTATGGTGAAGCAGATTAACAGCAATGCCACGTGCTGAGGAGCAAAACAGCTTCACTACACACGCCCACTCTCCCTGCAAAACTTCCAGCAACTGCCAGCTGGTTCCTGACAGCTCTGCGAGATCCTCGCTGCCTCCACACGAGCGGGAGCTCCTTCTGAACACACCAACTGTGGGAGCACAGCCTGCACCCAGCTCAGCCTGCACAGACCACCACCAGGCTGAAATGCTGCTTTCCAATACCAGAGCCTGCTGTGAACACCTGATTTTCACAGGACATCAGGGTGGGACTAAGGGGTCCGTATTCACCTCGCTACTCCACGGCACAGTCCTCTGGGTGACCCTGGACACGGAACTTCTTCGTAAGGAAGAGGACTAACAACTTTGCTAAGGTTTGCTGAACAACTAGAGGATGGCATTCACAAACCCAGCCCTGAAATCCCAGGGAATTTTATCCTGTTATGTTGAAAAACTGAAAGCAAATAAAACTAACCCACTTGAAAACTAAACCCACGAGCCCCTGGCCTTCAGGCATTTGCTAACAAGCTTACAGAGGATTTGTCTCGAGGCAGCCCTCCTATATTAGCAGCCAATCAATCGAGGAGCATCTGGTGGTAGGTTTATCCTGCTAATAGAGACAACAGGAATGTGGGGAGGTGTGCATGGAGCAAAGGCTACCAGTACCTTCATCACAAGTACTGTGTCTTATTCTCACACGGGGTGCACTGGGAGAGCAAAGAACGGAGCCAGGAAAGCTTCACCACCACAAACACCAGCCCCAGACTGGTCAGGGCACTTCATGGCATGTTACTGTAAAACAGATGTGGCAAATCCCAGTAAGACTGGGGGGAAAAATGGAGATGGGGGTGTGGATTTGGGAGGGACTGTCACCAAAAGAAGTGTTCATTTGGATGAGCAGAGTGTGAACAGGAACCACTCAGCTGCTGCTCCCTTTGGGGTCTGTTATTCACGCTGAGGAACAAACAATGTCTCCCCCAGCTTTAACTACTGAAATAGAAGACTGGAGGCTCTTCTGGATAAAACAAATCCTATGGCATGTATTTCCCAGGAAACTAGAAGAGGAAACATTGTCAAGAAGAACACAATATAGGCTCTCCCTTCCATTCATGGGAATTTCAGCTGCCTGCAATGGCTGTAGTTTTCCATCTTCATTCTTGGGCCCTAATAGGCTAAAGAAATCAAGTCTCAGGGACTGAAATGCCCAACAGATTACAGAACAAAGCCTTGCAAGACTCCATAAGCCTCTCTGGGCAATGCCCAAACGCTCAGGGCTGCCCTTGAAATGCAAGCAGCAAACCTTTCAGAAGGGTATTTGACTCACACCCAGTTGTGACCAAGTCCAGAAAATCACTTAAGGCATCTGCCATGGTCACAACAACTGTCTGCATCACCACTGAATGACCTTCAATGACAGCTCTAAAGCCCCTTGTGGAAATCACAGAACTTGGAGAGAGATCTCCCAACAGTTCAGTCATGGAGTGCATAGGGAAGAAAAATACAGAAGAACTTTTACAAAAGATTTCCAGCTTTTAACCAAATCCAAAAGCTCAGTATCATTCAGAATCCAGTCCTAGATACATCCATCCTACAGTGCTGATTGGGATCACATCTGGAGAGATTCTGAATTTGGTGAGAAGGCAGACACGGTGTCTGGCCACAAACTGACCCTGCCTAACTGAATGTCACAATCTTTTTCCTTCCTTGTCAAAGAATAATTACAGAAGGTTTTGTTGGATTTTTTTCCCTTCTAACGACTAAGCTGCCTCTCTCAAAATACTGAGATATTGATTCTTATTTTTCGTGGAAGATGGAAGGAGAGCTGAGCCTCTGTTCCTGCACTGCACCCACAGGGCTGTCACAGAGATCCAGCCAAAGCCACAGTCCCCCACCTCCCACTGGCCCCAGGCTGCACCCTCAGCAGCTGGAGCAGGAGACGTGCTGAATGTTACTCACTGCCATGACGAGCTCAAAGGGATATTTGTAGACTCGAACTGGGGACTGGTATTTCTGCACCATTTTTACCACACACCTGGAACAGACAGAAATTGGAAAATTTTAGATCCAAACAGCACAATACATTCTAAGCAGTTTTGACAGACCTTACTAGAAGCCTTAACTCTTTTTACAAATAGAGAGGAGATATATTAGATAGAATATCTTGTTTAGTAAGTGGCAGAGACAGAAGAGACAAGTCTCTGCAGTCCCAGTGCAGGGCTGTGTCCAGCACACAGCAGCACCCTGTGCAGCTTCCCAACAACTTATAGCTCCAACAACTCACAACAATTAAAGCACAAAACAGGAGATGTAAAGCCAGAATCAATCATACTCTGGAGAAGAAGCCTGACTTAGGAGCCTTACAAAGCTCACATGGTGATTCTTCCCCGTACCCCCCTTTCCTACATTACATTTGCAATCATTAGGCAAAGCCCTCCCCATTAAAAGCTTCTACAGCTTCCCGAATCTTGGTGTTAAAATGCTTTTGTGCACAAAGTAGCCTTGAGTTGTTTTAGCCCACTGAAAGGAAGGAAGAGGAAACAGCCTGCTGAAAGAACATGCCTGATGCTAAGCTGGCAATCACATCCCACTGCCTGGATGCCCACTGTTCCAGCTGAACCGAGGCAAGAGCTGCAGGCAAGGGGAACAATTCAGCCCTCAGCATTTCGCTGCTCCCAGCCACCTCTCACTGTTCTCATCAGGATTCCTCCCTCACGCTCCCTTGCCAGGGTTTTAACCCTCAAATATGCATCAGTAACCAGCATCTCAAGGAAGCACATAAACCATTAAAAAAAAAGGTTATTAGGCTGCTTTCTGCAATTCCTTTAGGAATTCCTTTGTATTGCTCCCTCTAACACCATCTGTGAACATCAGGAGCACAAAAGGCTGGATGGCTGGTTGGAGACTGTGCTGATTCCACCCCACTCAAATTCCACTGCTAAGCAGACACAGCCCTCGGCAACGTGACACAGTGTAGCACTGAACTCAGACGTCAGAGCAGTGAGACAACTTATCCCTGACATTTTAAGCCCAAAACCTGAGCTGAAACATGAATTAAAATGCAAACAGCAATAGATTCTCCCTCAAAGACTGCTGCAAAATGCCATTACACAGGGCAATCTAAGCAAGGGAGAGGGGAAAAGGACTTGAAAAAGTTTGTACCTGAGAACCGGGAATGTCTGCAGAAATAGGGTCGCACAATCAGACAGTTCCTCTGCAGAGGATCACGTTATCCAAGGAGCAAAGTCCAGGACTCCCTGGATCTCTGAGTCTGACTGGTGGTGCTGAGCCAGTCAGTGCAGAGAGAACTCAAGAGCAGAGCATCCAGCCCCAATGCTGGGGCAGGGCTCAGCACACCCCTGGCAGCCCGGGCTGCGATCAGGTATCGGACACCCGAGCCAGGGGGCACCGGGCACCTTGGAGGGCAACGCTGTAACATGATGAGGGCGGCAGGAACCTTCCCACCGAGCGCACACAGAGCACGAGGAGCTGGGAACATATTTAGATGGGATCGTGCTCCCTGTTCTGACCTCGCTGTTACACCAGGAGTTCCTGCACCTCTGCAGGAGAGGGTCAGGGACCTCCACAGCAGGAAGTCTCGGGACAGAGCAGTCAGTCTGGAATCTCCCACAGCCCAGAAATGAAGTCACAGAACAACAGGACGGCACAAGCAGTGGCTCAGCAGCCTTCACGGTGCTGCATGGACAGATCCCCTGCTCCCTGGCAGCAGCTGGACCCGACTGCCACAGGTTTATTGCCCTCTACTTCTCCAGCTGAGGGAAGGCTGAGAAAAAGAGCCAGTGCCTATTACATCCACAGGGAGCTGTGGAAAAAAGACAGCTGATAACTCACACCTGCCCTAGAAACCTTTCATACCTCGGGAGAGTGCAGTGGCAGCAGACCTTCTATGCCCTCTCCTCAAAACAGAGCTGTGAGATGGTCATCCTGCTTCTCAAAGTACCAGGGACTCCTGCCATAATTCCTGGAAAAAAAAGGAAAAAAAGTCAGAAAAGGCAGTGAAAGGTGGGTCCTCTGCACACCAAGCTACAGGTGATGACCAGCACTGATAAGGACAAAGACTCCCAGGTGTTACCACTGGGCAGCTGAGCCGTATTAGCTCAAGACCTGCATCCTCCCAGGGCTTTTGCACCAAAGAGACGTGTTTTTAAAGTCATCTCATGTGTTCCACTCCAATTATAAACAGACATGTTCAACTCTCTTGTAAAGAAAACCAGAAAGAAATGACACAACCACAGAGTGTGTCTGTTCCTTAAATATCCATCCAACTCCAGCCCCGCAGTAGCCCAGGCTTCCTGCTCGACTTCCTATTTGCATCTGGCTAAAAAACAATATTAGGAAACACAGCTCAAGTGAAGAGCAGTGACCCACTAAACTGCAGCATGACCACTTAGAAACCCCAACCCACAGCTGGAGGCACAGCTGGAGCATCCACAGGGTAACACCACGGAAGAGCTCGATTCCAGCTGGCCAAGCCCAGAGTAGTTGGTAAAAATTCAGAGAGGTTGGAGTTGTCAATACGTTGAAGCAACAGATCTAGCTAATAATAACCATGCCAGTAATGACAACCTTAACCATCCCAATAGATATTAAAAATATTTCCATCATTGCACAGCTGAACACAGAAAGCAGCAGCCACCGCATTTCCCGCAGCAGTGACACACTGACAGCAGTGCCAACAGCAGAGACCCGACAGCCTCGGCTCCCCATGGCCCCTTGTGCTACAGCCCACACAGCAACTCCCCCACGAACCAAGAGATTATAGATTAAATGCACATAAAGCCCCAAATCAAAGCCCTCCACCCCTGCTTTTCATTCCAGGCATAGAACTCAGCTCATTCCACACTGGAGCTGCCTGTTGGATGGGGGAGCTGGGCAGCAAGTGACTTTAGGAACTTCTCCCACCTGTGGTGGCCGCTTTTCAGCTGGAGGAGAAGAACTGAGCAGGTTTTTGTGGTTTTTTCTGTTTTGTTTTTGACAAAGAACCGCTGAAAATAGCAGAATTCCAGACTTCCTCAAATAAACACGTGAAAGCCAGCTGTGGCACCCAGCTAAGCTGATATTTCCACTTAGAAAAGAGAGACTCCACAGGGTTGTAGTCCTTCCTCCCCCCTTCTGGAGAAAGGTGGAGAGAAAGGTGTGTGACATTTCCTCTGCCTGAAATGCCTTTCACTTAGTGACTGATGATTCAGAAACTGATGCTTTATACACATAATAATGAGATGCTACCAAGCTGTGGGATATTTATTAGAGCTTTTTCACCTAAGAACTTAAGAACAAGTCTTATGAAGCTTGATACAAGGAAGCCTCAAGGTGGAAGGCTGCCAGAGTAAGCCTTTACCATCTTTTAGAGGAAGATATCTGTTCAGGCAGGACTTGATCTCACCCCTGAGAAACACCTCTGGTGCAGGGGTGAGCAGTGGGGCCTGGGCACTGCTCTGCACACCTGGCAGAGGTGCCTGGAGTCCTACTTGGGGTCATAATCAACAACAAGCAACACGAACATTCAAACGACAACATTCACACAGTCTTTACCACTCAATAAGGTCTTTTTGGCTGAGGGGAAGTAAAAACCAAACCAGCATCCAGCACTCTGCCCTCAAAGCCCAGTAGAGCTGTTTCTCTTCCGTGGATGTTTCAAAACAAGCTCCATGCCTAATACTGCCACACCTTCATCTCTTAATTTGCTCACTAAAGAATCACCACAGAACTTTTATGCACAGCAACACTAAATCCCCAATACTTGCCAGCCCTCAGCAGGAGATAAGCATTCCTGAAGGAAAGCCGCTCATTCCTTACCTCGCTATTCCATAGGAAGCCACACCACACCGTCCACACTATAGGCAATAGTTCAATACTCAAATACAAATTCAGAATGGAGACAAAGAATCACAGACTGGGTTGGGTTGGAAAGGACCTCAAAGCTCATCCCATTCCACCCCCTGCCATGGGCAGGGACACCTTCCACTAGCCCAGGTTGCTCCAAGGCCTGTCCAACCTGGCCTTGGACACTTCCAGGGATGGGGCAGCCACAGCTTCTCTGGGCAACCTGTGCCAGGGCCACTCTCACAGCCAAAAATTCCCTCCCAATATCCCATCCAACCCTGCCCTCGGGCAGTGGGAAGTCATTCCCCCTTGGCCTGTCCCTCCATCCCATGTCGAAAGCCCCTCTCCAGCCCCTTTAGGCACTGGGAGCCTCCCTGGAGCCTTCTCTTCTCCAGGTGAACCCCCCCAGCTCTCCCAGCCTGGCTCCAGAGCAGAGGGGCTCCAGCCCTTGGAGCATCTCCATGGCTTCCTCTGGACTCACTCCAGCAGGTTCACATCCTTCCTATGCTGAGGACCCCATGCTTCTGTTTAACACATAAAACAAGAGTAGATCCAGGCAAGAGGTCACTTAGTGCAGCAAAGCACCAGCATCAAACTGTTTCAGCCTGCCTTGAGTGAAGTTCGCAGCTGTATTTTCTTTGAACACAGGCTCTCATTATCCCAACCAGATCAGTAGTGCCATCAACACAAACCCCTTCTCACAATCTACAAGCCGATTTTACTGCTTGGAGGAATTAACCCAAATGACCCAGGGAACATATCTGGTTTACCTGGAAGCTGATCTGAAAACATACAGTCACAGACTGGTTTGGAAAGGACTTAAAGATCATCCCATTCCACCCCCTGCCATGGGCAGGGACACCTCCCACTAGCCCAGGTTGCTCCAAGCCCCGTCCAACCTGGCCTTGGACACTTCCAGGGATGGGGCAGCCACAGCTTCTCTGGGCAACCTGTTAAATCTGTCACTGCTTTTAAAAGCCATTAACCAGAGTCACCCTTTGAGTTCAGAAATACTTCAAGGTTAGTTTTTGGGTAGATTTTTCGAGCCCCAGGCCCTGTGTGGAGCTCAGCAGGCGCCGTTCCCGGCTCTCCAGAGCTGGGTCCCACTCACAGCCCCTCCCCGGCTCAGCCCACCCCGAGCCAGCGTCCATCCCACCCCCTCCAAGCAGGACACGAACCTGACAACTTTCAAAGTGGGGCATCTTTTCAGTAGACCCGAAGAGACCCCCCGGCAGCCCGAGCCCACCGCCCGGCTCTTCACCCGCTCCCTCCCTGATCCACAAGGATTATGGCTAAAATTTCCCTGTCGGCTTCCCGTATCTGAGGGACAGCGGCTCCCGGCACCTCCTCACCCACCCAGCGCCCCACGGGGGTCCGGGCACACGGGGCGGGACGAGCCTCAGCCCCCTCCGCCCCTCCCTCCGCCCGGCCCCGCACGGCGGCCACGGGGGACCCCCGCAGGACGCTGCCCACCGGGGAGCCCACCGCCCCCCATACCCCACACGCTGCGTCCCATACCCCATATCCCACATCCCACACCCTATATCCTATATCCCATACTCCACACCCTATATCCCATACCCCATATCCCACACCCTACATCCCATATCCCATATCCCACACCCTACATCCCATATCCCATATCCATTCCCATCTCCCACACCCCATATCCATGCCCCATCTCCCATACCTCCCTCCTCGCCCGGTCCCGGTCCGGCTCCCTCACGGCGGTGCCGCCCCAGCCCGGCCGCTCCGCTCCCGCTCCCGCGGCTCCCCCGGCCCCGCCCGCCCAGGCCCCGCCCCCCTCAGGCCCCGCCCCCTGCCCCGCCCCCGCCGGGCGCTGTCCATTGTGCTGCGGGGGGGGGCGCGGGGAGGCCCCGCCCCCGCGCACGTGCGCGCCCCTCCCCCGCCCCCCCCCGCCTTGCCCGTGAGGCGCGGGCGGGTCCGGCCGTGAGGGGGAGCGGGGACCCTGTGCCAGGGGAGAATTTCTCCCCAATATCCCATCTAACCCTGCCCTCTGGCAGTGGGAAGCCATTCCCCCTTGGCCTGTCCCTCCATCCCTTGTCCCAAGTCTCTCTCCAGCTCTCCTGGAGCCCCTTTAGGCACTGGAAGGGGCTCTCAGGTCTCCCTGGAGCCTTCTCTTCTCCAGGTGAACCCCCCCAGCTCTCCCAGCCTGGCTCCAGAGCAGAGGGGCTCCAGCCCTTGGAGCATCTCCGTGAGCTCCTCTGGACTCTCTCCAGCAACTTCATGTCCTTCCTGTGCTGAGGACTCCAGACCTGGACATGTCTCCAAGTGGGGTCTTGTGAGAGCAGAGAGGAAGAATAACGAGGTGGGGTGTGATGAGCTCACCCCATCCTGCAGAGTGGCCAAGGCCCCAAGGCTGCCAGAGCTCAAGGAGCACTTCGACAATGCTTTCAGGGACAGGGTGGG